ACATGGAAGCAGTAAAAAATAAAACATTAATAGATGTTAATTTTGTTCTGAACCAAACACTTAATTTTTTCAAGTCCTAAATGGTTCTCTCCTTTCCACTCTAGACAAATAATAAAACACAAAGAAATAAAAATGAAAATAAGAAAAGAAACACATAGCTAATGAAAAATGATGACACAGTAATTAATGCAGCAGTATCTGTATGTACAACCAATCTCAATCTCAATCTCAATATCCAAACAGAATTTATGTGACATGATAAGATCATCTTTTTATTATCTGATGTTGTTTTGATATTTATAGTAGTTGTTATTACTAGTACAGTTCATGAACAACGCAGAATCCGGGTCATTAATAAAATAGGTGGTGGTGCAGTTGTGAGCTCAATAATTGGCACAAATTCAACCACAGACTTTGATTTAAAATGATTATGAAAGAATATTGAGATCCTCCACACTGCACGCTGGACAACGTTTTCCCTTTACGGACACGAGATGTGTTCTTGTTCTATGTTTATGGCCATGGACATTGCTTCATCTGCTCTTGCTTCCGAATCTCACTGCAGATGTCATCATGTGCTTCATCTGCCCACAAGAAAATAACATCATTATTTAATTACCCATCACTGCTTTCAACTTTTACACAAACTAATTAATAAATTGTTTACCAAATCATTATCCTCACTTCGCCAATAGTTTATTAGAAGGATGATTTCACGGAAAAGATTCATAATTTTTTCAAACTAACCCTATAACTCCGATCAAACTCTGGTTGTCTGAGGTTTGGTCACCGGTTTTGTATAAATCAAGAGTGTTAAGAATTAACTACAAAAATCCCTACTCAATTTAATAATATTTATTATCTAATTAGAAATATATTTGATGATAGACAGACATGTTATAATCATAATTAAAATTCTGGCATCAAATTGATCCTACTTTTCAGTTTCATATAGTGTATCTAAAAACTTTGTATGTGAATTGAAATAAAAAGTGTTGGAAAGTAGAAATATAAAAAATATAGAAATAACGAAAGAAAAATGAAAAAGCGATGGAAATATTTGCCTAATCTGTCAGATGGTTCAGTTCTTCGTTGTTGAAGTACTAAAAGGAAGCATAAAGATTCAGAACAGAAAATAATAACCTTGGACTCCATATCCACTCATCAAGTTCACAATCACAAATAATTGTGGATGATATAAGATCGGATAATGTATGTTCTTGACCTAGGACGATCGTACCTGATTTTTATCAAATCGAGAGAATATATAATGGAAGGGACTAAACACAACCACTCTCTTCTGCATTCACAACAGTTTTTATGGAAGGTCCCTCAAATCCTTTTCTTTTTTCCCCAACAAATACATCATTGCTAAACCGAGTGTGCATGGATATACGTTTATACTTTATAAATTAAGTTTAAGTGATTTGATTTAAAAAAAAAAAAACTGATTTTTAAATAAGTTTACTTTAAATGCATTTCTTTTAAGATTTGAGGATTGTGACGGATTTGAGTTATGAAATCATTGAAATTTTTCAAAGCAAGAAATTTAGATTAGAGGAATGTTTGTAAAATCTAAAGGATTTTATTATAAGGGTTTGTTAGGAAGAATTTGATTGATTCAATATGTGATGAAGATTTGAAAGTTTTAGGTAGGAGTAGATAGATGTCTTGAGAAAATTGGAGAACTGAATCAGTTATATAAAATTATCGTATTTTTTACTTATCTTATTTTTACAAAATTGAGATACACAATATAAGTTTGATTAATAAATACTTAGACTACACGATGTAAAAGTGTCTAATGTATCTGAGAAAATTTTGGTTTGATAGAAAACAGAGTGATGATTTCATAGCACAGAGGATAACAGGTAATTAAAAAAAAAAATGACATGATTATGACATTGGAAGTATTTTGAGAAGGAAAAGAGCATCCTGTATGGAGTAGCCCCACCATGGCCTTGGATCTCCCTTCTTCCAATTTCCAATCCTTTTCTTGACAATGACGCATCCTATGCCTCTTTCTAACCTCTCATTATTCTTTTTCCCTATAACTCACTTCTCAAAGGTGATGATCTTCATTGAAACTTGAGCTTTACTTCCACACCCAATTCTTTTCCATTACTATAATACACAACCTCGCTCTTCCTCTCTCTCTTGCATATTCCCCAAGTTGATGAGCCACTATGGTTTACCATCACTTTATTCCTTATCTATCTATCTAACTTATAAAGTACTTAGACCTCTTCAAACACTGGCTTATACATCAAGTTCTCTTTCTTTCCATTGCTTCATTCTTAACTTAGCTTCCCAAGTTATCCTCCACCATCACTAATCTTTTTTCTCATTATTTTACGCCCACGCCCACCTTTTGGGACATTTCCAAGAGTGAAGACAAAGAAACGTAAAAATCAAGCCTTGGTTGGGGTTAAATACATGCGCAGGCACAGATCCAACATCACATGCCACCTTAATTATTAATTCACATTCATTCATCATTTTTTCCAATCTCTACATTCCTTCTATCTCTACACACGCCACCATAATTTTACTTAATATTCCACCTTATTACTTTATTTAATATAACTTTTCTCTTTCCCTTTACCACCGGGTTCGGTTGCCAATCATTGAAGCAGATATTTCTATTTCTTAATTTGTTGGAGTTTTTTTTTTTTACTATTTTATGTAGAACTATGTTGTTATTATTAAAAGGTTAAAAAAAAACTAAAAAATAAATTTGGTATCTTTTTATAAACTATAAAAAGTACCTCGTAAAAAATTACAAGGAAATGTTACAAAAGTGTTTTCTTAAAAAAAAAACCTAGCCTATCGCACTAGTTATATATAGCTACGAAAAGTTTGTCTTGGAAAATGAGTTATTGGATGACATTGAACTTCGAAATATTACAACAGCGACTTTCAGATAAAAGTTTTTTTTTTTTTTATAATTATCATTTTGGTATACCTTTACTTAAAGAATGGGTATTACTTATAAAGAGAGGACGTTATAATAGAGGTGCATGTGGTGTAAAAAACAGAAGAATATACACCACTGCATCGTTTAAGGCTTGTTTTCAGGGACATTTTCGGGGAAATTATTTATTTATATAAAAGAAAAAGAGAGAGAGAGAGAGAGAGAGAGAGAGAGAAGACACACACCATTAAGTTAGCTGGGCACCCCTGTAAAGGTAATAATAATTTTGTAATTTGATACAAAATAAAAATACTTTTTCTCTTCATAGTTATGGTAAGATACCCTACTGTAATATGATTCTCAGTCTCTGCTCCTTGTTTGTCCTTTTGTCCATGCTTGCTAGTAAAAGTAAGAACAAGATTAGGTTTCACTTTGAACATATTTGGTTAGTTAGATATAAAGCTTAAGTTCAGTGGCCTATTATTTTAATGTTTGACATAATTTGTTTAAAACTTTAACCTTGTTCGAAACTTATTTGACAACAGTTTTTTTATTTTAAAATATAGATCGAGATAAGCATTTAAATAGCAAACAAAATACTGCGTTGGGATTAGCTAAAATTTGAATTGGGTAAAAATTAATAATTCCTTAAGTTAATGTCAAAACTTTAGTTGTATGATGTAACATAAGAACTTATGACAGTTTAGTCGAATGTAAAATGTTGGAGGAATATGCCTGAATATATATATATAATATAACAATTGCACATGATATAAACTTTTTTTATTAACAAATAAACGAAAGTTTTGGTAAGGACTCGAGATCTCACCAAAATTAGAACATATCTCATGGTCTACAAAACTAACAAAACTTGTGTATTGATTAAGGAAAATTTAACTGAATAATAAGAGATTAATATAGATAAGTTTGATTTCATTCTTTGTATCCGTATCGAGAAAATACTCTTGGATTAAAAATATTATTAACATGATATTTGCAAAGATTTTATTCATTTGGGGATCTTAAAAGAAATATTAAAAGGAGATTGAAGCACAAGAAAATTGTTAATTATTAGGTGATGAGCTGGTAGATTAGATGGATGGAATCGCTTGTACCAAAGAAAAAAAAAAAGAGAAAAAGAAAAGGAGTCTCCCACCTTGATGAGTTGCACAGTAAATCCTCCACTGGGCTGCTAAATTTCCAAGGAAAAATTATTGAATTCCACGATGAGTGAGAAAATTCAAAGATGGCGTCTAATAAATATAATTGTGATGCTAATTGAAAATCACTATTAATTTGTAATAAAAAGACAAAAAAAAAACAAAAAAACAAAAAGGTAGAGTTTAAAAACGAGGAGGTCTCACCGCTTATCTCTTCCGCCTACTGTTATTTATTCCGTTCCTCAATCTCTATCGCAGACAGAATCAAAAGTTCTTTCATCAATCCCAAAGCTGTGTCAAATACTTGACCTTATTATACACATTCATGCATAATTGTCAGACCACATACACACATAATTAACAATTCACCAAGTAATTTCACAACCCTATCCAACCAGTAGTTATCAATTCCATTACGTAACACAACCCACCAACCTCATCTACCTTGTCTTCTTCCATTTTCCCCCAACATTCATTTCCATTAATTCAATTATACCACCGCATGCCCTAAATGTAACACTTTCTTCAATCAAACAATACACCCACAAAATTATACCAATCACAACAATTCACCACATCATTAACCAGAGATTAGTAAAAAAAAAAAACACAGAATCCGGCAACAATAACCGATCAAACCACAAAATCAAATTCAAGGAAAGGAATTGCAGATTGGAATTGGAGGATTGGAGTGAATTCAACGCTATGTTGATTGGATTAATGAACATATACGATTCGGGATCCAATATTTCACATCTTATACAAAGTGAAATATATATAACATATAAAAAAACCAAAAATTAAAAAAAAAAGGGAAGAAATTGACCGAAGAAGTGGAATTGGATAAAAAAATAAAAATTTGTGTAATTTACGAAGTTTAGCAGGTTCCGAGGTGTGGGAGTTGGAGGAAGCTAAGGTTGAAGTGTTCATGTACAAGTGCAGCTCCTTTTGGGAAAAGTGGATCTGAAAAACGCGTCCATGTCCTCTTTATTCGTCACATCGAAGAACTGAAAATCGTCAAGAAGCTTCCTTTTGCACGAGGCGAAAGCCTTCGGCTTCCGTGGCGCCGGCGGACACGTCATGATCGCCGGAATTTTGCTCTCCTTGGAGGTCGGAGTACGATAGCTTTCCTCGTCGGCAACGGCGGCAGTGACGGTGACGGTTCCCTCTTCATCACTTTCGTTCTCAACTCGCGTGACGACAGAGGAGACGAGGGTGTCAAGGTGGTGGTCGGAGGGGACGTCGTCGATTTTGACGGCGGCTATTCGGAGCTTGGGCAAGTCGTGTTGGAGGTGCAAGTCGGTGGACATGATTTCGATGGTGGTGGGAAAGCGGATGAGAAAAAAAAAATTACTCAACGTGAAGTGCGTGAAACTGCGTTTGTTGGTGCTTATATAGACACAGTTGGGGGTTGAAAAACTTTACGGAAAGCTTTCAAAGCGTGCGTTAGAAGGTAGGAGTATGAGTAAGAGAGAGAAAGAGAAGGGTAGGATTGGAGGGAGAAACACTGTAAAGAATGGTAGGAATAGAAAGAGATTGATAAGTGTTTTTGGTTGGAGGTGGGGTAATGGGGTATCTCCATCACTAACTCCTTTAATTTCACACTTACGCAACTTTATCACTATTTTATATTCTTTTTCAACTCTATCTCTTCCCCTCTTCATATCTCATTTACACTTTTTCTTAATATATTACAACTAAATATTTCTCTGTTTTGTTTGTCCAAAGTTTTAGAGAAACACTGTTTGCTAAAATTAAACTGGACTTTCTTGTTTCTTGCACTGTCTTTTTTTTCATTATAATTAATTTTTTAACTATGTGAAACTGGAGTTAGAGAGTTGACAACTTAGAGGTAAACAAAACCAAGTCTTAATTAATCTCATTTATTGTTAATTAATATCGTACATTAAAAAGTCTTAATTAGATGTAATTACTTGCTTAAATTCTGGTATAGGGAATATATTTTCATAAATTACAATCTCTACTTTCTATGTGTAAAACTTAGTTGAAGGAGGTTAATGAAAATAATAATGAGTTGTATGGGTTTATTTGTATACATTAATAATTTTTTTAATTAAAAAAATTGCCATTTTGATTCTGCAAATGATATCCTCGAGGACTTGTTACCATTTTTACGACTGAGAATAAACATGTTTACTGCTGTTCATTTCTTTCTTTTCTGACAATCATACCTTGTATGAAAAATTTGACAGCTGGGGGAACTTTTATGTTCCGGGGAATAGCACAGAATTTGGTGAACGGCAAATGAAGCTACACCACGTGTAAATATGAGAGTTTCTTGGACAAAAATACCCTTTCGTATTTGATATGATAGTGTTGGGTGTAGAAGATAAAACAGAGTTTGCTGAACGGATGTCACGGCCCATTGCTTTTAAGAAGAGTGAATAGTGGAACGTACGTGTTACGTTAGAGGCAAAAGGATAGCTATTGTCGCATGGTCCCGTCGCCACGCTCTTTCCAAGGCGCGTCACATACAACTTCCACTCGTTTTTCCTTTTATTCTCTTATTAGTTTTGTAGGCAAAGTGTTCAGTGTACGCTGTCCGTTTTTTCTTTTACTTTTTAGTTTTCATGATTGTTCACATTTATTTATGTTTATTAAGTTTTTTTAAAATATATAATAATATAAAAGGATTTTTTAATTGAAAATAGAAAACACATTTGCTGTGGCTTTTCAATAATTATTATAGAAAAAAATAAAGTGACTATACTTTAGTCATCAATGTTAAATATTTTTACACTACCAATTCATTTAAGTTCTATTTTAAAAGCACTCATCACATTTAAAATAATTTATTGTAATTAATTTATATATTATATTTGTTTAATTAGCTTATAAATTGTCTTGCACTTATTTATATGCATAGAAGATAAACTCAAATTTCAGAATTGTTCATTAGTGACATCAACATTTATTTTACAAAGACTATTCTAATATATTTTTCAAATAATGTATGTATTTTCATACTTTTTATTTTTTTTTATAATAGTTATGCATGTTTAATACCCTGAGCCACATTATCTCAATTTCTCTCCCATCCTTATATAGCCAATAAAATGAATCTATTTAAAGATATATGGGTTGAATTATGTTATGTTGAGTTTTTTTTTAATTATCTTTAGACTCAATAAAATCAACTTAAATTTTATCAAAATAGTTAAATTAATTAAATTATATATTTTAGAAAATATTTTTTAAAATTATAATTGAAAAATTGTTAAATTTATAATCTGCTTAAATTAACTATATTATTAAATATTTTATTAATTAATTACTTAAAAATAAATATTTAATTAATAAAATAATCAAATAAATTTATTATTATTATTATTATTTAATAATTTTCATAAATTTAAATTTCAAGTATAATGTACAAATTCCAGAAAATAGATTAAATTAGATTGGATTTAATCAAATTAAAAAAAATACTTAACTTATTCGGACTATATTAAATTGAGATGTGGAATAGTTTAACTTATTAATAATACAGCTATTTTTAATTATATTTGTTTATATTTATATAATGCAGTAATAGTTTCTCATTTTCTTTATCTAAATTAAAGAAAACAGATGATATTCTATTTTATTTTCCATCATATACAATTATATGAAAAAAATATAATACAACTAAAAAAATGTAATTAACGTTATCTTGAAAATTAAAAATGATTATTAATTATAGATAAGAATATATATTTTAAAATTTGACAATTTAAAAAAAAACTAGGAAGAATATATATATGTGGTAAAATTGTAATGAATTTGTAAAGATAGTTGATACTTGGAGTATACAGAAAGATTAATATTTGACATGTATGTATGAATGGTTGAAGGAGTGGATACTGCATGCGAAATAATGATTTATTTAGCGAAATGGAATGAAAGAAGACAAAGGAAGGGGCAAATTTACATGATTGAACTTGTCTAATTTGAATACATGGAAAATGAATTGATAAGTTGTCCATATATATGAAAGAACCTTATTTTTGTGTCTTGTAGTGGTATATGAGTGAGAAACGGGTAGTGTATGAAAAGGACATTAAATTGTTGACTAAAATAAGGTGTTAATTAGATGTAAGAGTAGTTAGGGTAAATTTAGGGAGGTGAAATGGTAAAGTAGAAAGTATATAATAGAGTGGTGATATTTTGATAACTAGAAACCGTTCAACCTTTCAAACAACTCACTTTTTATTAATATAATATTTTATAAAATGATTTAATAAAAATAAAAATAAAGTAAAACTATTATTATAATATTAAAAGAGAGTAGTATAAAGAAGTTTTATGGATTTGGGTTGTCAAATTATCATTTTCCTATATAATAATATATAGTGTCCCCTGTAATATGGCATTAACATGTGTTGGTAATGTGTTTGTCTGTTGCGGAAAGATGGGCATGGAAGAGAAGACGGAGAGGGTGTTGGCTTTCATCACCCCACACCAGATGCGCGTGCACATGGGCGATGCATGCAAAGAAACACCGCCACCACCTCCTATCTTTCTGTGCCTTCGTCTTTTCTCTCTCTCACTCACTCTCTTGTGTCAATTTTGTGCATAGAGAGAATAGCCATAACATAGGATACCATGTTAGAGCCTTCAATACGCCCAGCTACTCCTCATTTTCTATATAATAATGTTTTGTTATTGTTAGTGTGGATTGAGTTTACCAAATACCAACCCATCATCAAATGAATCTTTCCACGTGCCTTGTCTCTACTTACTACACATTTATGCTCCTCGTTTTTTACATTCTACTACTATGCAATAACACTAATCATATTCATTTTTTATAAGACCTAATCTTATCTTTAATACCACCAACATAATTAAAGCTCAAATTTCATACCTACATAACATATATCTTTTACACCACACCAAATTCTAATTAAAATTTTGTCTACTAAATCACTAAAGATTCTGGAGACACATGATAATATAAAGATTTTACCCATATACATATATATAAACATCTTCTGAGAAATCTGATCTTGTTGTTTTTAGAAATTGGTGCTATGTAAGGCCAGAATAGTAGTATATAATGAAATTCAACGTATTTACGTTTCATACTATTTTTCTTATTAGGCCATTCCCCACTATACTAATACATATGTACTTGGCTTTTGACTTATACCAACATGCCTCCAGTTATGTCATTGATCCCTATGAGTATGGGTCAGGTTCGCACGTGCAGCTAAGTTTTACAATGATTGTGACTGCACCCTGCAGCAGAACCTCCCAGTAACTGCTTCATTACTGCATATATTTTTATATATACACACACACACAAAAACAGTAGTTAGTAGAGTTTTACGAGAAAACAGACAAAACTTCAACATTCTTGGTCTTTACCTGCTTAACTACCACTTTACTCTTCCCGTCAAAGTTAATCTAGAATTGAGACCTTTCATTTCTTCTATTACCTTTTCATTTTATTACTTAATATGCTTTATTCTGTTTCTATGAATGAATGACAAGGAGTTGGCAGATCCAAAGAAAGTACTAGTATGAGAAGAGTTCATGATACGCGTTAAGGTTTTCTTTCCAGTTTTCCAATCTGTCTTTATCTCAACCTTCTGAATCAAGCCACTACGTATGTACTATTTTTTCTCCTTTTATTTATTACTTATCACAAGGGACCTAACATGCACAATGAGGTGCTGGACAAGATCTCGTAGACACTAATTCTTTTACCTTTTTTTTTTCGTTGGAAAAGGATCTAACCAGCCAATATCTAATATGGTTTTGTAGTAACGCTATTACATTCATAACAATTATGAAGTGATTTTATGCAGATTCCAACGAGTGGTTATAGCACCGAAAGACATGAGAAAAATAAAATAAAGAAAAAAGACAATTGAATATTGAGTGGCGAATTTTGTATGAATATATTGTTGCTTGCTTGTTCAAGAAACATGTTTTACAGCTGGACTATTGGCATTATTTGAGGTTCATGTTTTGGCTGATATAGGATAAGCTTAAGCATGCCCATCCATCATCAATTCACGATCATCCCCTAACCTTCCTCCTCCATTTCTCTCAAAGGTATCCTAAATTCAAATATCTTACCAATTCCAACACCATATATATTAAATAATATATATTCTTTACCTATGCTTTCAATCTTTGAAAGGGTTTTAAACATCAAAGGATTAAAATATATTCTTCTTAAGAAATATAAAGTTTAAAACACAAAGAAAATTGAAAATAAAGGTTTTAAACGACGAAACATATATAGCAAATTTTTTGGATTGTTGCTTCATTTTGGTTGCATGAATAGGTAACCCAAACTGTAAAGTTTCACTTCCACGGAACTAAAATGGAATGAGACAAATTTTAAACGTGCATGTAAAACAACCGCAGACTGCATCTGTACCGAAATATGTAATATATGTATAGCCTCCCATAATGTCTGGTTCCTACAGCAATACTTATGCTCTTTTTTGTAGAAATATGAAAAAAAATAATTCAATTTGTTTCTGTTATTGTATGTAAATGTTCACGCAACAGCTTGTCTTGGCACTCATAAAAGATGGCGAGTCTTGAAAACAAAAGTGTCAATGCTGCATAAAATTGAATGCAGCCAAACTGCAACCAATTTATCATAATTTGCTTTAGAAGAACCAATTTATCATAATGGGTTATCAAAACATTAACATATATATTATTTTAATGTTGACAATAAATGAAAACCCAGTGTCTGTTTTTAAGCTCCAACTCCGAGAACCTAATCCAGAGGAAGTTGCTGCAAAAATTACTGAACCATAAATATCGTGACATACATCTGGTTTGAGCAACTCCTATAATGAACCAAAATTGACAAGTGACTGTTTCGTATTAATAGTGTCCTAATAATGTTGGTCGACAAGTGGCATTCTTTATACTTGCTCAAAATATTATTATTATTTTATATAATATTATAAGATAATGTGTATGAGTATATCGATCTCCACCGCATAATAAGCATAACTTCACGCAAAGATTTTGGATACAGTTTGTGAACTAATTAAATTATGTATTACTTTAATTAAAATAATTAAGAGTATTTCAGATACATAAGATATATTTTATTAACACATTATAAACAATAGAAGTTTTTACGTGATTATTTTATCATATATATATATATATATATATATATATATATATATATATATATTTCACTTTACTAAATTTTAGGTAATTATTGTTTCACTTATATTTCACCTAATTTGAACGTAATAATATCTTTACAGATCAAATACATAAGAATACATATTAATTAACAAAAGATAAATAAATATATAAACACCTTAATTGGTAAGAAACAATAACTTATTTTTATAAAAAGTTATTGGAACATTATAATAAAAAATTAGCAATATTTTTCATCATGATAAATAATAATAATAATAATAATAATAATAATAATAATAATAAAATAACGAGATAATGCAATGAGTAAACTATTTGTCTTTAATCCATGTTTAATCTTTACCGTATATAAATAAATTATCAGATAAATAACAATTACAATATTACCAACTACATCTGTATTTTACCATTAATTTATAATATCATAGCTAAGTAAAATAGAATTCATAGCTATTTTTCAAGATAATCATAAAAGGTTTAAATTAATTAAATATATAATAATATTTAAGTTTAAATTTTAATAAAATATAACAATGGTCATTAATATATATAACAATATCCATTCATATAAAATATATAAATGATAAGTTTTAGGTTTCGTAAAATTAATTTTTTCCATAAAATATTTTAGATTGAATTGAAAAAATTAAAACAATTTAAACAAACTTATAGCGTTATATTGAATCCGAACAAAAACTAAAATATAACATACCGTGATCAAACTCTAAATTACAGGAATTCTATATAACACCTTCATCTGCGTATAATTGATAGAATTTGGATTTTTCATTCCCACATGACATCAAACTTCTAACTTCAACAGACAAGATTCACTGGATAAATGGGGATAATATTTCATTAAATTAAATCACTGTACATTAATTAGTGTGGCCTCAGCTACTTTTTTTTTTTTCTAAGCCAAATTAATTGTTGCAAGTTAATTATCAATTTATTTAGTTTTTGTAAGTATAATTAATATATTAATAGTAAGTTGTAACCAAACTTTAGATGAGGTTTTAGTGTGTTAATATCTCTCTTAACTTTAACTGAAACTATAATTTGACGAGTTCCAAACATACCATATGTCAGTTTTCATTGATTAAAGTACATACATGCTTCATAGCTGTATTTAAGTAAGCCACGTATAATCTGGTTTCTGGAGCAAATCACGTTCTCGCTGTAGTTTTCAATATTTAAAACTATGCATTTCGTCACGTCATTTAAAAGGAATCCTATGAACCTACCAATGATAATAATAATAATAAAAAACAAAAACAAAAACAAAAAAAGAGAAACCATTATTTAAAAACTCCAACAATCCAACAAACTTACCTAGTGGAGGGAAGTGATGAACATTGCGTAACTAAGTGATTAATATTTAAATTGTAATTCTTAAAAATAAATAAAATTAAAGTTGGAAGAAGATTCATTTTCGTGTTGATAAAAAAAAAAACTAATACCAAATATGTAAATTGATAAACTCATCATAGTGTTTTCGAGAAAAATAAAAAGTTTAAAATTTTTTCTGAATAATATGATGAAAACTAAAATGGAATTATTAGTTATTAATAACATAAAAATAGTTTCTCACGTAATAAGAACAGATAATTTTAAACTTTATAGCACATCCCAAATAAAAAAGATATTATAAAGGGAAACAATAAAAGACACAAACTCTGGCAATTACAGAGGTCGTACTATACCATCCTATGTGCAAATATCATTGTCCAACATGTTTTTTCCTATTAAAATTATAGGTTAGGGTTAAAAAGGTAACTATGAGTTCAAACTCAAATGTGGTGTCCATCAACCATGTAAGATATAAGTAGACAAAAATTTGAATGTCCTTATAATTAGATTACTACTGTATCATCTTTACCACTCTTTTTGTACTATATCAAAAAATATTAACCAAAAACGAGACTACTTCATATTTTTCAACATATATATTGTGTTTAGTTATATTTAGTAATATAAAGTGGTCATACCATACGGTATTCTTCTAATTGATTTATTATATATATATATATATATATTTATTTATTTTACGGTTGCATAAAAAATGACGACGAAGAATTTAAACGCATTCTTTTATATCCACCAACTACAAATAAAAGACATCAATCCAAATTAATGTTATCCTTGGGATTTTTATTATGAAATTATCGAGGTTACGTGCACGAGTTTCACGCAATCCCAGGAAAACTGTACCAAAATTGACATTAAGACAATTTTAAAGTGCAACTTCTCTGGTCTTACCTTCTTAACCATGGAAATAATTTTTTTCACCTCATATTGTTATTGAAAATGGATTTTATTTTTACTAGGATGTTAATAGAATGAAATCTCTCGTATCGTAATTATTTATGAATAAAAATGAAATAGAGATTCTTTCAAAAATGAAAGTTAAAAAAATATTAATAAAAGTAGAATATAAATTAGAAGAAGAAATATGAATTGAAGTCGCTATTTTTCACCAAACTCACCTATCTTAGGAGTTTGGACTTTGGACTTTGGTGACCAAAGAGAGACACATAAGGGGCATCCAATGCCGCTACCCTACTTGTTTAGATTCTTGTGTCAACACTCTATACGTTTGAGACAAGTGAATTACGAATACGATATTATTTTTTATTAACAAGTGAATTAAATATTTGTATTGTTAGAATCACCCGTGGTTTAAAAAGTGTGTGGCGTGAAGCTTAAGAAATTAAGCAGAACAATTTTTGTTTCCACAATGAATATTAAAATGGTTTTCAATGATAAGACGATGAAGCAGCATAAGGTAGAAAGTTGTTTATGAATGAATCGAGGTCACACGTGCACAAGTTTTGTGTTACCAAGATTGAGTCCAAATAAATTGTTGGTTTTGACTAGAGGCATTCAGGTGTTACCAATTTTGGTTGAAGCAAACAAAATCTACACCATGCATAGTCTTTACCTGCTTAACTACCAATTTACAATTCATGCAAAAGCTATTAACCAATTTTGACTTTCTCTCATAATGTATGATATGAATTCGTCAAAATCAACAAAGATAGATTAAAATGTGACTAGCTTTGTTAACACGATGAGGTTAATAATGGTTTCTGAATTCCTGCTTAGTAATCATCAACGAAACAAATAGTTTGAAATAATTACTCTGATATTTAAATTAAGTTTATAAAATAAATAGTTTATTATACCTTTTTAGCTGGTTGGTCCGCCATCCACCAACTTGTCTCTAAGCGAGACCAACCAAGATTTTCTGCAGGCGACACAATATGCTCAGATAGTTTTCACCAATTTACTGACACATATCAACTAATTTTAAAATTTCATAAAAAATTATACACTTGGTTAATTTTATCATATAAAATAATTAGGAAAAATAACTTTAAATTAATCTTGAAAATTAGTTGATATATGTACGACATGATATTAATATTATAATTAACATCAACCGTGGTACTTGGTGTTTGTTTTTTTGTGAGTGTGAGGATAAGTTTATGGACCATTTCTATGTTTTGTTATGCCTTTTGCTATCAACAACTCCCCCAAAAAGTTTCACTTGGTGAATTGATATCTTGTCTTTTTCACCCCAGCTATAGTCCATACTACTCTTACACAAACTATTCCACGCAATCATTTTCCAAACTTGTACCGTAATCTACACTATGGCCTTTATGCATGCCCTACAATTTATGGGCCATGCCCCACCATTTCCACTCACTCACTTTGTTTGCACTTGCTTATGCTGTTCATTTTTATCTTTGAGATTTTCTAGAAACAAAAAATGTCCAGAGATAAAACAGAGTAGCTAGACTCAACTCCAAAACTTACCATTTTTCCATATAAGATCATCACCGCCTCCACAAAAGCTAAGACAATTGTTACATCCGAAATACTTACAATTGTTACATGAATCATCAATACACGTAACTCATAAAAGCATGCTATTTATCCGTTTTTTATGCCATTGTACATTACTTTCGATAAGTTATGGAGTTGTTAGTCCTTTTTACAACGAAGGAGTAAACTTTGGGCATTAATTCAATCATCTGCTGCAGAGTTGTTCATAACATACCCATGTCTTGGATTAAGCATAGTGAGAAAATTTATGTGTATATACAACAACATGCTTTTATAGATTAATGCTCTTTAGAGAACATAATAAACTACTAATTCAAATATCCTTCCATCATAATCCTCTTACATCTTGTGTTACACATTAGCACGAAAATTGTAAAATGTAGAACTACTGTTATGATGAGGCCTTTCATGAAGATATTCATTTCATTACGGTTATGTAATTGAAAGCTCATTACGAAAGTCCACTTTTTGGTTGTGCTTGTACCCGTAACTATAACGAAAACAATGAGACCAAACATTGAAGTTGTTTGTCTATTTGCAATTTAAAATGCTATCAGTGTGTAATGAAGGGAAATTAAAACTGAGACACATTGAGATTGGAGCCAAAAAAAGTTAAGGTTGGAACCAAGAGTAGATAGTACTTGAAATTTTATTAAATGAAGATTGATCGTGTTTGGCTATATATATATAATGCTATATACAGATAAGAAGGATTCATAATTAGCTGTTAGACAATAATATACATGTCAGATTACTTTTGTGAAGAGTGCTTCCTAACTACTGATTTATGAAGATTGTTGGATGCAATAGAAGTTATTCATTGAAACATCGCCATTAAAGTCTCTTATAATATTGGTTGCACCAGAAACACGTTAACAGCCAAGATAATGAACCTAAACAGTACAGTTGTTGATGGATAGCAATTAAAAATGCAGTCGATAGTTGAAGAACATTATGATTGAGTTGATAGCAACTAGCAGAAGCTATTAAACCTGAAATATCTGCACCTTGCGCACTAATGATTCTTATATGTTCAATGTAGTTAGTACATAACAGACCTCAAAAGAGATCTAAATTAATTACTCATTCTTTCTTTCTAATTCATGTTCCTTAAATATGCAACTCTGGTTAGTTTTATGTTACAGGGTGAAATATTATCAAGAGCAAGAAAAGGTTTCCATTTTCATCCATATTGCTCTACTTTTTTTTTTTTCTGCTACTAATGAATCAAGTGTTAGTGAGCTGACAAATTTGCTTCCTTTCTTGGTTACCTCATTTTCTTGCATTGGCAGCAGATTTAGCACTTACTGTCTTGTACCACGTATATATTCATATTTTTTAAAGTTTGCCTTCTTTTTTACTTCTTGGTCCAATTCAAGTTTCTATGTCAGGGTTTTGCCTATGTTGCACGAGGAACCAAGTGAAGAAAAGATATATATGGCACGAGTGAAATGAGGTGTGGTTTAGCATAAGATGACAATCAAGAAAACTATTTAGTGTGTGATGTAGAGTCAAAGTTATGCAGCTTTAAATTAAAAAGCATTAATTAAGACAACATTTAAAACAGTAACATGGCTTACTTGTTGTTGCATATAAACCAGGTTTTTCTCCAGTTGTAAACATTGAAATTAATTTGTTTTTAAATGGGCTCTGAAGCTGGTCCATGATGATGATGATCCTAAACCATCATGCTCTTTTGTTTCCTAGCGGATTCCGAAGAACACACTGATGGTATAAAAAAAAGGCCAAAAAACAAATATAACAACTTGACAAAGAGTAATAATGCAGCGGAAATTCAATCCCCCTTCTTGCGAGAATCAGCGAGGAGCACCAAACAAATAGAATCCAAAGCACAAAGAGACACCAACAATTTTAACGTGGAAAACCCCTCAATGCAAGGGTAAAAACCACGAGTCGTCCAGACCAAAGAAAAATCCACTATGATCAATAATGGGGTACACAAGAGTCTCCAATAATAATACCAAAAGGTATTTTCAATAAGCAGAATTAACTAAGCACAAATGCTTACAAAAGAGAAACAAAGAAGATGAAAAATCTCCAAAACAGGGCTGCTGGTGCGGGACCAATTTCTCCCAATCTAGACCTTCGATTGACGATCCGAACGGTCAGAATGAAGAACCATATGTCTGGAACCTACTATCCAAAAAATCAGCTCGATCCAACGGTGAACGACTTCACAGCGACGAAAACACCAGTGCAGATTTAGGGTTATGCGGAGATGACTTTCTCTCTTTCTTTTTCTCTCACTAGACTTTTTGTCTTTTTTCAAATGACTCTCTTGTCCTCTACTAATCTGACCCATCTCATTTTACCCAAATGAGACATAATGGACCACACTATTTGGGCCTATTCTCCACATAGGAAGGGAGCCCAATAACCCAACAAATCTCCCCTCACGACTATGTGGAGATATCCGCCAAGCCGGCGATCTCACAACAAACTTCAAACTTTCCTCTTGGCAATGCCTTGGTCATCATATCAGCACCATTATCATCTCGTATGAACTTTAGCTAGTTCCACCAACTTAGCATCCAAAACATCACGTATCCAATGATACCTCACATCAATATGTTTGGATTTAGAATGAAAAGTTGGATTCTTACCAAGATGAATAGTACTTTGACTTGTCACAATACAACAAGTATTTATCTTGCACAAAACCAAGCTCCTGCAAGAATTTCTTCACCCATAACAACTCTTTGCATGCTTCGGTAAGTGCAATGAATTCTGCCTCGATAGTAGACAACGCCACACACTTTTGCAACTTTGATTGCCAAGCCAAAGCTCCCCGCATAGCTGAATCAAATAGCACGAAGTGGACTTTACGGAATCAATGTCTCCGACCATATCTCGAATCTGAGTAACCCACCAAAGTAGGCTTATCACCTCCAAAACAAAGTCTCAAACCTCTAGTACCACGAAGATACCTCAAAATCCATTTCACGACATTCCAATGCTCTCTACCTGGATTTGACGAATCTGCTAAGCTGTACCAACGGCGTGTGCAATATCGGGCCTTGTACATACCATTGCATACATCAAACTACCCACCGCAGAAGCATAAGGAACTTTTCTCATAGCTATCTTCTCAACTTCATTTGAAGGACTTTGTTTAACACTCAACTTAAAATGAGTAGCAAGAGGAGTACTTACAACCTTAGCATTCTCCATTTGGAATCTTTGCAACACCTTCGAATGTAGTGCTCCTGTGATAGCCAAAGTTTCTTCTCTTTTCTATCACGAGTGATACTTATACCAAGAATCTTCTTAGCGGCTCCCATGTCTTTCATGGCAAATGACTTGCCCGAGTTGCTTCTTCAACTCTGTCAATTTTGGAAACATCTTTTCCAACAATAAGCATGTCATCAACATATAACAACGAGGATAATGAAATCATTCTCGAGAAAATTTCCGACAAAAACACAATGGTCGAAGTAGTCTTCTTGTAGCCTTGCTCACACATAACGAGACTCAAACTTCTTATACCACTGCCTTGGAGCTTGCTTCAAACCATATAGGCTTTTTCGTAGCCTACACACATAGTCTTCCTTGCCTTCAACAAGAAAACCATCCGGTTGCTTCATGTAAATCTCTTCCTCCAAATCACCATGAAGGAAGAGTCTGTCTTCACATCCATCTGCTCAACTTCCAAATCAAGAGTAGCGACTAAACTTAACACGGTTCGGATAGATGTCATCCTCACCACAGGTGAGAAAATCTCATTGAAGTCAACACCCTTTCTTTGTCTAAAGCCTTTCACCACTAATCTGGCTTTATATCCGGTAGATGTAGAATTGCTCTCTTGCTTCACCACTGAAGATCCACCTGTTCTCTAAGGCTCTCTTACCCTTAGGCAACTTCACCAAGTCATAAGTGTGATTATCATGCAGCGATTTCATCTCATCCTGCATTGCATCCAACCACTTTTGCTTTTCTTCACTTTCAACGGCCTCCTCATAACATTCGGGTTCTCCTTCATCGATCAACATCACATACTCATTGGTAGAGTACTTCTTAGAAGGTTGTCTTGGCCTGTCGGATCTTCTAGGTTGAGTTTCGGGTAGCTCGGGTATATCACCAAGACTCTCATCATGTGATACATCATGTTCCTCTTCATCAACATTATCAATAGGAACATCCAAGCTATCTTCAACCTGTTGATTATCGGTATCACCATGTTGTTCATCATCATGAGCATCAATATCCAAATCATTAATAGACAACCGAATTGGATCAACATCATCCACATTACCATTTCCTTTAGGTGTAGACTTCTTCTCCTTATCAATATCTTCAATGGTTTGATCTTCCATGAATTGCACATCACGACTTCTAACAACTTTCTTTTCAACGGGGTCATACAACTTGTAGCCAAATTCATCCGACCAAAACCAATAAAGATGCATTGCCTTGTCTTCATATCCAACTTGGATCTTTCATCCTTCGAACATGAACAAATGCTTTACAACCGAAGACACGTAAATGATCATAAGTAACATTCTTGCCAAACCAAATCTTGTCCGGCACCTCGAGTTCAAAGCAAGCTGCAGGACTTAGATTAATAACATGCACTTGCTTGTAAACAATGCCTCACCCCGAAATGCTTAGGCAATTTTGCTTCAGAAAGCATACACCTAACTCTTTCAATCAATGTCCTGTTCATCCTCTCCAGCTAAACCATTCGGCTGAGGAGTTTTAGGAGGAGTCTTCTCATGTGCAATACCACATTGTCTACAATAAGCATCAAATGGTCCACAATACTCACCACCATTGTCGGTACGAATGCGTTTCGGCTTCTTGCTCGACTGCCTCTCAACCAAAACATGGAATTCTTTAAACTTGTCCAACACTTGGTCCTTTCTACGTAGTACATAAACCCAAAGCTTCCTGGAACAATCATCAATAAAGGTAACAAAGTAAAGTGCACCACTAAAAGACTTTACCTTCAATGGGCCACAAACATCGAGAATGCACCAATTCAAGCAACTCGACTTCCTGGAGGGAGGATGCTTCTTGAAGGATACTCTGGTTTGTTTACCAGCCATGCAATGAGAACATTTCTCCAAATCTACATTCTTCAATCCTGAGAGAACATCCTTTTTAAATAAGCGGTTAAGCCCCTTTTCATCGATGTGCCCAAGCCTACATGTGCCACAAAGATGACTCCATATACACGGAATTCACACTATCTTTAGCAACCAAAGCTTTTGTCCAGTAAAGCTTAGAGTTTTTCTCCCCTTTAGCCACAATCAAGTTACCTTTGGTGAGCTTCCACTTTCCAGAACCAAAATGGTTATAATATCCACCATCATCAAGTACCTGCACAGAGATCAAGTTAAAGCGAACATCTGGAGCATGTTTAACTCCTCTAAGCAACAAGCTGCATCCCCATGTTGGTTTGCAAGTGAACATCACCAACACCAACAACTTTAGACACCCCATCATTACCCATCTTCAATACTCCAAAATCACCAGGTGTATAAGATGTGAAGAACTCCTTCCTGGATGTAACATGCGGTGTAGCACCACTATCAATTATCCACATGCTCTCATCGAGATACAAGACTAATAGTGTCATAATCACGAAGACAAACAAGGTCACCACATGTAGTAGTAGTAACACGATCACCATCATCATTATCTTTTTCTCTTTGCTTACCCTTTTTGTCTTTGCTCTCTTTCTTCCACAAAAAACAGTTTTTCTTTATATGTCCTGTTTTGTGACAATAGTGACACTCCACATTCTTGTACCGAGACTTGGACTTGCTCCTGCTTTTATCTCTACCACTTGTTTTGTTCTTTCTTTTGGTTTCTCCCCTATTCTCTGTAATAAGCACTTCGAATGAGATGAAGTACCACTGTGTCTTCCTTCTCATCTCCTCATTAAGAGCACCACTCTTTGCCATTTGCAAAGAAATATCACCATTAGGGGTAACACTTATCATGGAAACCCGAAATGTCTCCCACGAATCCGGTAAAGAGTTTAATAGGAATAAGCCCAATAGATCATCATCAAATTTTATACCCACTCCAGCTAATTGATCATAGCGTCCTTGAAATTCACTCAAGTGATTTGACACATGAGTTCCTTCCTTGTACTTCAACTCCACAAAATTTTTCAGCAAGTACAATTTATTAGTCCACGACTTAGAAGCATACAAGGACTCAAGCTTATCCCATAGGCTTCTCGCATGTGTCTCATTAGCAACAAAATTATAAACATTATCATCAACAAACTGCTCGATAAATCCACATACCTGTTGATGTTCAAAATCCCATTCTTCATCGACTTGGATTACGGCTTATTGGAAGCAAAAACGGGAAGATGCAAATTTTTCACAAATAACAAATCCTTCATCTTGCCTTTCCATAAGTGATAATTTTCTCCATTCAACGGAATCAATTTTGTATGTGCCTCCATCATTCACGCAAAT